TATCCAACAAGAAGACCTAACAACTGTAAATATCTATGCCCCTAACATGGGAGCAGCCAATTATATAAGGAAATTAATAACAAAAGCAAAGAAACACATTGACAACAATACAATAATAGTGGGGGACTTTAACATCCCCCTCACTGAAATGGACAGATCATCTAAGCAAAAGATCAACAAGGAAATAAAGACTTTAATCACAATGGACCAAATGGACTTAACAGACATATTCAGAACATTTCATCCCAAAGCAACGGAATACACATTCTTCTCTAGTGCCCATGGAACATTCTCCAGAATTGAACACATCCTAGGTTAGGTTCTCAGGTCTCAACCGGTACCAAAAGATTGGCATTCTTCCCTGCATATTTTCAGATCATAATGCTTTGAAACTAGAACTCAATCACAAGAGGAAAGTCAGAAAGAATTCACATACATGGAGGCTAAAGAGCATCCTACTAAAGAATGAATGGGTCAACCAGGAAATTAAAGAAGAATTAAAAAGATTCATGGAAACAAATGAAAATGAAAACACAACTGTTCAAAATCTTTGGGATGCAGCAAAGGCAGTCCTAAGAGGAAAGTGTATAGCAATACAAGTCTTTCTCAAGAAACAAGAAAGGTCTCCAATACACAACCTAACCCTACACCTAAAGGAGCTGGAGAAAGAACAGCAAATAAAGCCGAAACCCAGCAGGAGAAGGGAAATAATAAAGATCAGAGCAGAAATCAATGAAATAGAAACCAAAAGAACAGAAGAACAGATCAACGAAACTAGGAGGTGGTTCTCTCAAAGAATTAACAAGATGCATAAACCCCTGGCCAGACTTATCAAAAAGAAAAGAGAAATGACCCAAATCAACAAAATCATGAATGAAAGAGGAGAGATCACAACCAACACCAAAGAGGTACAAATAATTATAAGAACATATTATGAGCAACTCTATGCCAGCAAATTAGATACCCTGGAAAAAATGGATGCATTCCTAGAGATGTATCAGCTACCAAAACTGAACCAGGAAGAAACAGAAAACCTGAACAGACCTATAAAAGGAAATTGAAGCAGAAATAGAAAATGGAAGGAAATAGAAATGGAATAGAAATAGAAATAGAAATGGAAGGAAAACTTCCAAACTCGTTTTATGAGGCCACCATTACCCTGATCCCCAAACCAGACAAAGACCCCAACAAAAAGGAGAATTACAGACCAATATCCTTGATGAACATGGATGCAAAAATTCTCACCAAAATACCAGCCAGAAGGATCCAACAGTACATTAAAATGATTATCTACCACGACCAAGTGGGATTTATCCCTGGGCTGCAAGGCTGGTTCAACATCCGCAAATCAATCAACGTGATACAATACATTAACAAAAGAAAGAATCATATGATCCTCTCAATAGATGCAGAAAAAGCATTTGACAAAGTACAGCATCCTTTCTTGATCAAAACTCTTCAAAGTATAGGGATAGAGGATACATACCTCAATATCATAAAAGCCGTCTTTGAAAAACCTACAGCGAACATCATTCTCAATGGGGAAAAACTGAGAGGTCAGGAACTTGGCAGGGATGTCCACTCTCACCATTGCTATTCAACATAGTATTAGAAGTCCTAGCCACAGCAATCAGACAACAAAAAGAAATCAAAGGCATCCAAATCGGCAAAGAGGAAGTCAAACTCTAACTCTTTGCAGATGATACGATACTTCGTGTGGAAAACCCAAAAGACTCCACCCCAAAACTGCTAAAACTCATACAGGAATTCAGTAAAGTGACAGGATATAAAATCAATGCCCAGAAATCAGTGGCATTCCTATACACCAACCACAAGACAGAAGAGACAGAAATTAAGGAGTCGATCCCATTCACAATTGCACCCAAAACCATAAGATACCTAGGAATAAATCTAACCAAAGAGGCAAAGGATCTGTACTCAGAAAACTATAAAATACTCATGAAAGAAACTGAGGAAGACACAAAGAAATGGAAAAACGTTCCATGCTCAGGGATTGGAAGAACAAATATTGTGAAGATGTCAATGCTACCTAGAGCAATCTACACATTCAGTGCAATCCCCATCAAAATACCATCCACTTTTTTCAAAGAAATGGAACAAATCATCCTAAAATTTGCATGGAACCAGGAAAGACCCTGAATAGCCAGAGGAATGTTGAAAAAGAAAAGCAAAGCTGGCGGCATCACAATTCCGGACTTCCAGCTCTATTACAAGGCTACTGGCACAAAAACAGACACATACATCAATGGAACAGAATAGAGAGCCCAGAAATGGACCCTCAACTCTATGGTCAACTCATCTTTGACAAAACAGGAAAGAATGTCCAGTGGAAAAAAGACAGTCTCTTCAACAAATGGTGTTGGGAAAATTGGACAGCCACATGCAGAAGAATGAAAGTGGACCATTTCCTTACACCACACACAAAAACAGACTCCAAATGGTTGAAAGACCTAAATGTGAGACAGGAGTCCATCAAAATCCTAAAGGAGAACATAGGCAGCGACCTCTTCGACCTCAGCTGCAGCAATTTCTTCCTAGAAACATCGCCAAAGGCAAGGGAAGCAAGGGCAAAAATGAACTCTTGGGATTTCATCAAGATAAAAAGCTTTTGCACAGCAAAAGAAACAGTCAACAAAACCAAAAGACAACCGACAGAATGGGAAAATATATTTGCAAATGACATATCAGATAAAGGGCTAGTATCCAAAATCTATAAAGAACTTATCCAACTCAACACCCAAAGAACAAATAATCCAATCAAGAAATGGGCAGAAGACATGAACAGACATTTTTTCCAAGGAAGACATCCAAATGGCCAACAGACACATGAAAAAGTGCTCAACATCGCTCGGCATCAGGGAAATCCAAATCTAAACCTCAATGAGATACCACCTCACACCAGTCAGAATGGCTAAAATTTAAAAAGTCAGGAAATGACAGATGTTGGCAGGGATGTGGAGAAAGGCGAACCCTCCTACGCTGTTGGTGGGAATGCAAGCTGGTGCAACCACTCTGGAAAACAGTATGGAGGTTCCTCAAACAGTTGAGAATAGAGCTACCCATACGATCCAGCCATTGCACTACTGGGTATTTACCCCCCACATACAAATGTAGGGATCTGAAGGGGTATGTGCACCCCGATGTTTACAGCAGCAATGTCCACAATAGCTAAACTGTGGAAAGAGCCAAGATGTCCATCGACAGATGAATGGATAAAGAAGATGTGGTATATATACACAATGGAAAGGAATGAGATCTTGCCATTTGCAATGACATGGATGAAACTGGAGGGTGTTATGCTGAGCGAAATAAGTCAATCAGAGAAAGACATGTATCATATGACCTCACTGATATGAGGAATTCTTAATCTTAGGAAACAAACTGAGGGGTGCTGGAGTGGGGGTGGGGTGGGAGGGATGTGGTGGCTGGGTGATAGACATTGGGGAGGGTATGGGCTATGGTGAGTGCTGTGAATTTTGCAAGACTGTTGAATCACAGATCTGTACCTCTCAAACAAATAATACAATATATCTTAAGAAAAAAAAAAAGAAGATAGCAGGAGGGCAAGAATGTAGGGGGGTAAATTGGAGGGGGAGACGAACCATGAAAGACTATGGACTCTGAGGAACAAACTGAGGGTTCTTGAGGGGAAGGGGTGGGGGGATGGGTTAGCCTGGTGATGGGTATTAGGGAGGGCACGTTCCGCGTGGAGCATGGGATGTTATGCACAAACAGTGAATCATGGAACAAACACTACATCAAAAACTAATGATGTAATGTATGGTGATTAACCTAACAATTTTAAAAAAAAGATTCTCCCTCTCTCTCCCTCTCCCTCTGTCCCTCCCCAATCCTTCCCTCCCGTCCTCTCTCTCTGCCCTACTCCCTCTCTCCCCCTCCCTCTCAAAAAAATAAAAATTTAAAAATAAAAAATTTTCAAAAATAAACTGGTATCAGAATAAAGTACTTTAACAAAGAACCCATTTTGTAAGTTCATTTTTTAATACTACTTAATACTCAAAAAAATGTACACTTTATGTTAAATAGAACTGTTCTTAAAACAAGTAAAAAAATAAATGTCAAGTACCACTCCCGTTTTCTACTGATACAATCATCAGGCACAATCAATGTCTAATATTTAAAACGTTAATGTTAACCTAAAACACATCAACTTTTGAAGAGGACTATACATCTTACAAATTGGAACCATTAACCTAGACCATTTTAAGTTTTTAAGTCAAATAGCCTACTCAGGGGCTTTGCAAATATGCACCTATGATTTAAGGTGGCAAATTCAAGTTACAAACGTAAGTCTACATTTTTAAAAAAATCTAACTCTGCTTAATTTTTTTCTTTGACCCTTCCTAAGGTATTTCAAGAAATATTTGTCCACTTCATCTTTCATTTGAAAATCTTTCTCAGCTTATATCTAACTCATGTCCTCAAATCTGCACTTTCTCCTATCTACTGTCACAGTAAACATGGACTACTTACTTTAGATATTTTTTTTTTTAAGATTTTATTTATTTAACAAAGAGAGACACAGGGAGAGAAGGAACACAAGCAGTGGGAGAGGGAGAGGCAGGCTTCCCACTGAGCAGGGAGCCTGATGCAGAGCTTGATCCCAAGACCCTAGGATCATGACCTGAGCTGAAGGCAGACGCTTAACCAACTGAGCCACCCAGGCGCCCCCCTTTTTTTAAATAAGGGTAAATGATATAGAAGATGAAGTGAGAAAGATGAAAAAGTAAGAATTAACTTAGCAATATCAGACAAAATATATGAGAAACTGTCAGTATACAATAGAATGCATTTCATGTGGACTTTACAAATTTTCTCAATTAATCTACGTTAAACCCCAAAATAAACTCCAAAAAGACTACTATTCAAGCTAACAAGAGAGTCTGATTTTTAAAAAAGGAAAAAATTTCCATTGTCTTTATTTACTTTATAACATAGAAAAATGAAAAATGTCTTACTAGAAATGATGTATCAGCAAAAAAGTGCACTTAATATGATCCTTGCAGAAAATTCTTCTTTGTTCCTTTTTCACAAAATGCAATTCCTAAAACAAAAAATATGAGATGAGTTAGCAAGTGTTCTTAACTTTAAAACAGAATTAAATATATATTTTGTCTTTATAAATTCCAACTCTCAACACACTATAAATTCCAACACTCAACACTATAGGTCCACAAATATTTGCTAAATAAGAAAATAAATTTTTAAAAGTCATTTGTGGTATTTGCCTAATAAAAACATAATGTTAGCCAACGGAGAATTTCTAATGTCACTAATCTGTTTTTTCAGGAAGTATTACTTAAATGCTCAGTAACATTCTATATACTCCTAGATTCACAAATTGGCTTCCTAGGTCCCCATCTTCCTACCCCTCTATATCACATGATATGCTTTATATTTACCTGGTACACACAGCCTACTGAACGTACACTTTGCTAAAATAATTTAAAGTATTCACTGTATTATGTTCACATTTAGAAAAGAAAATTGTCAGAGGGTCAGTGATTTGCATTGCCATAAAATGTTTGTATTCAAATACAATATGTATGCTTGTAGCTTTCACTATCTTTTAAAGGTAACAATGAAATGAAAACAATGAACATAAGATTCCCAAAATGAACATAAAACTGATGCCAATAATTCATATTAAAAAAAGGAACATTTGTAAATACTAACCAATGGATCAGTGCATAATGAAAAATCCAGTTTGCTTGGAGTAGTAGTAAGGCATTTAGGTAAAAAGTAAAGATGGTAAAAGTCCCCCCTCCCCCCCCACCTTCCTCACCCACACTGGCCAGGACCAATTATGATGTTAATCCAATAATTTAGAATTGCATGACTGGATAATTCTACCAACTCCCAAGTAAATCTGCCACATCAAATAAAAATGGTAATTTCTCCACGGAAATAACAGTCTTTTGAATCTGATTCAGCAATATTAATTATTGTGATACTGTAATTTTATTTCTATTTCAAATCAACACCTTCTCTAGAGGGGAGAAAAACACAAATTGCCAAATATTCTTTTCGTATTAATGAATTAAGTATTAAAAGCCTGAACTTTAAGACATACAAAAATAAGCTTTTTTTGCAAGGTTAAAAAGAGCTTGCTTTTAAAAAGCCAATTTCAGCTTTTAATCTAATTAAACTGAAATGTAGAAAAGAAAAAAAGCTCCAGTTTCACTATCAACTTCTAAAATCCAGTAATTCAAAGTGAAACTGTTTTTCATGGGTTCTTGATCTAAACAAAACTCAAAATGTATTTTAATAACAACTTTGTGAGTCACAGAAAGAATTAAAGTTTAGCAACTTGACCCACAGTAAATAACTAATTAAACACAAATTTGAGGAGCGCCTGGGTGGCTCAGTCGGTTAAGCATCTGCCTTGGGCTAGAGTCATGATCCCAGGGTCTTGGGATCAAGTCCAGCATGGGCTCCTTGCTCAGCAGGGAGCCTCCCTCTCCCTCAGCCTGCTACTTCCCCTGCTTGTGCACTCCTGCACTCATGAGCACTCTCTCTCTCTCTCCAAATAAAATCTTAAAAATAAATAAACATAAATGTGATACATCCTGGTATATTTTCTTACATCAAAATTTCATTCTCAGTTCTATAAAGGAACTGTTACTGACAACTTGTGTTTTGTACACAGGTACACAGTTCTCAATTTCTAAGCAGAAATATTCTAAAAATCAAATTATTTTATAATAATCTATAATGAACCATACTCTCACCTTCAAAATAAAACTGTTAGTGCTACATCCAGTTATTATTCAATTTCACATATTAAAGCTCCAAATCTCATTGCTTCTGTCCAGGCAAGAGCTAGACAACCTGTACCTCCAATTGCTATTACTCCCAAATCTGATCCCAACCAACCACCTAGCTAGCTCCCTCTGCTTTTTTTTTTTTTTTAAGAGAAAGAGCATGCACACATATGAGCAAGTGGGTGGGGGGGTAGCAGAGGGTAAGGGAGACAGAGAATCCTAAGCAGGCTCCACACCCAGCGTAGAACCCAACATGGACCAATTCCAGGACCCTGAGATCATGACCTGAGCCAAAATCAAGAGTTAAGACACCCAACCGAGTCACCCTGTCCCTCTACTTCTAATCAATCTACATCGTTGTTAACCTGGACTACAAGCCATTGCCCAAACTGTCAAGCTCTGTAATTCTGTTCAAGTTTTTACCTCTGCTGGAAACAAAGTTCCCCCATCTCTTAAACAAGCTTTCCCAGTTTAATGGCACCTTCTGCGACAGCAACCTCAAGAATACTCTTACCATCACAATCACTTCCAGGAGGTGGTGGGGGGGGATAAAATTATACTTAGTTTTGTAAGTATGAGTCTCTTCTATACTTTATGCTTTTTTTAGAGAAAGAACTTCATTTTTATATCCCCAATATCTAGTTAACATCTGGAACAGAATTCAATATAGTCCATTCAGAAAATATTTACTGAGTATCCAATATATTCCAGACACTTTTCTAGGTGCTAGGGATCAGTCCCTATATCTATGACTGACCTCATGGAGCTTACATTCTAGTGGGGGAATCTACATCACACAATGAATAAGGAATGTGTAATATATACAGCAGTTATACAAGTCCTTAATAAACAAAAAATAGAGCAAGGAAGTAAGTACTATCATAGGGGATTAAGATTTGAGAAAGATCTAATGAGATGATAATAAGAGCAACTATAACAGCAGTATTTACCATATGCTAACCAGTATCCTAACTATCCTAATGCTTTACATGCATCAACAAAGGTAAAGCCAACAATAATCTCACTATTACCCTCAAAAGGAAACTGAAATACTAAGAAGGTTCCTGCCAAGGTCACATAGCTAAATTAGTAAAGTGGTGAAGCCAGGATTCAAACCCAGGCACGCTTTTAACAGCTATGCACAACCACAGTTCAGTTCATGTTTTGTTTTCTTTTTTTAAAGATTTTATATATTTATTTATTTGAGAGAGAGAGAGGCAGAGGGAGAGGGAGAAGGAGAGGAAGAAGCAGATTCCCTGCTGAGCAGGGAGTCCAATATGGGGCTCAATCCCAGGACTCTGAGAACGTGACCTGAGTCCTGAGCAGACGCTCAACCAACCGAGCCACTCAGGTGCCCCCAGTTCATGATTTTGTTAAATGAATTAAATATGTGAAAAACTGAATGCATACTAAAGCAATGGATTCAAAAGACAGAAAAGCAAATCTCAGTCTCAGAGGACTGATACATTTGAGCAGCTTGACAGATACCCTGATAAATAACAGATGAGTATCTAATGTGAACAAAGATGATAAACACAATTTCTCAACAATTTTTAAAATGTTTTAAGTTTCTATACGATAATTACCAGAACTAAAAATTACACAAGGCAATATCACAAAAATCACATGGATAGGTCATTTAAAAAAAAAAAACTTTTAAAGAAGTACTCTGAAACAAATGAAAACATTGAAGACACTATCATTTCAATAACAGTTAAATGTCAAATATCACGGTTTATGTTGTGGCACAAGTTACTATCAACTTCTAATTTTCCATATTAACAAGAAGGGTTAAATGAAATGACTGTGATTCAAACTCTTCAAATATCTCAACTATATTTTACAAAGCAAATAGATAACACCTAATACAACTGCTGGTGATATCTGAAAACCTGAATGACCCAAGATAATTTGCTCCGTAATGCCCTCTCTTGCTATATTAGCTTGTTAATTATGTGCTTAACCAGTGAATGCCAATAAATTAGAAAGCAAAATGAAACAAAGTGCTCCTGACATGATATTAACATTCCTCGTTTCAAGTCTTAAGGGCCTAAAATCCTAAGCATCTCCTCAAGTCTTGATAAAAAAAAAAAAAACAATACAATCATGAAGAAAATTTCTGCTTTATGTTTGAACTTATCAAATTTCACTGGAGACCTCTGCCCTGAGCATAATGCAGCATCAAAGAAAAGAGGTTTCTATATGAAAACAGCTTTTAAAATCAATCCAGATTAAGGGAAAAATTAAACAGCCAAAAAAACAAAAAACAAAACCCCCAAAAAACAGTCTATAAACACAATAAATGGTGCATATTTGCTCAAATATTAATTTCATTTTGTAACCAAAACTTAAGTTTACCAGCAATGGTGTTTTTAATTCAAAGGAGTGTCAGCTCTCACACATGGGCGTCAAACTACTCATGCCTTAAAAAGATTATTGGTACAAACCATGATGTAGTAACTAAGTACCAGACACGCTCTCCTAATGAACTCAACTAGAAAACTGATCAGATATATAAAGCTATAATTTTAAAATGCTGGACACCAAGCAGCTGAGCACTGTAATACCTGAGAAAAACGAAAAGTGTCCCCTACATACTCTGTATGCAGAGTCCAGAGGGTAGTGCAGGAATGGGAAGCCAAGCAGAATATGATGGATTCAGTGAGTAAAAGAGACAGACACTGAAATTTGGGGAGGCTGAGATAATGGGAAATTGTAGAGCAGAGAAGATGGAGCTCAAGAAGAGAAAACATTCCTGAAATCTATAGAGAGGTTTCTAGAGCAAATCTGCCCAAAAGAAACAACATGAACCTAAAATGTAATTTTAAATTTTCTAACCACATTTTAAAGGAAAATGAAGCAGGTAAAATTAATTTTAACATAATTCATTTAACCCAATATGCTCAAAATATTACCATTTCAGGATATAATTGATATACAAACAGATATTTACATTCTTTTTTTCCAAAATAAGTTCCTGACATTCAGTGTGTTTTATACTTACAGCATATTTAAAATCAAGCTAACCACAATTCAAGCTCTCAATAGCCACAACGTGGCTAAATGCTACCATATACTTGATAATGCAGTTTCTTGAATATAAAGCTGTGTATGAGTAAAGTGAAACTCTACAAGGCCAGGCAAGGAATAATGATCAGGCAAGGCTCAAAAGTTCTGAGATTACATAAGACCGGGGGATGTGCAAGTTCCAACCAAAAACGAGGAAGACCTCATTGAAACCTGGGGAAATCAGTAGAAACTGAATCAGAATCATCACTTA